TGGTTACTGAAAGAAGAGAAGCTGCGCTTTACAGGGATATTTGGTGTATTACGGTAGCACAAACGGTTTGCAAGCTACTGCTCTGGAAAAAGAAAAGCCAACTCCACTTAGGTGCGCTTCACACTAGCGTAACTCCTCGACCATTTGGGCAAGAGAGACATTTCAAATGGTGACTAAAAGACAAGAAAACGAGCTTTATGAAACTTCACGGTGCATCATTAGGGGGCACAAGCTGCGACGGTCCAATCACATGTAAAAATTGATGACTCATGGAGCAGAGTGACGGGTGTGGAGAAGTGGCAACGCCCCCAAAAGGCCTGGATATTTTTTAACTGTTGTTTCATTGTCACAACAATACAATAATGTAAAATGACTTCCAGATATTGAAAGCTGAGGGAATTCTGAAAAAAAGGGCAAAAATAATTCACTTATAATATGATTTTTGGCCCTTTTACAGCCAAAATTACCAAATATGTCGAGGCAGCCTTAATGATACATAATAATAATGGATTGCATTTATGTAGCACTTTTCGACACCCTCAAAGCGCTTTACAATTTTACTCGCTGTTGGAGGCAAGCTACAGTTGTAGTCACAGCTGCCCTGGGACAGACTGACAGAAGTGAGGCTGCCATATCGCGCCATTGGCTCCTCTGGCCATTATCAGTAGGTGGTAGGTGAAGTGTCTTGCCCAAGGACCCAACGACCAAGAAAGACAGAGCTGGGGATCGAACCCGCAACCTTCCGGCTCACATTCGCACCTACAACCACCTTAGAATAATGAGTTAACCACATGAATGTCTTTGGGATGCGGGAGGAACCCACACCTGCACAGGGAGAACAGACAGACGGAAAGCCAATGTCCAGATGTTGTATTTGAACCTGTGGACGCTTTTGCTGTGAGATAATAGTGCTACACACTCTTCATCCACCTATAGTATAAAACTCGTATTTGAGGTACAATTAGGTATGTAGTAGGGGTGCAACAATACACAAAATTCATGGTTCGGTTCAGTTCGATACTTTGGTGTCACGGGTCGATATTTTTTCGATACAAAAAAATGTTCATGCCTTTTTTAATTTGTCATTTATTAAAATTATAAATATATATTTTAACTCAAAACAAAAGTACAGTTTTTAAATTTAATGTTGCTGAAACAACAAAATCATAAAAAAAATAAATCTATCTGATCGAGAAATCACTCATCTTTGGAAAAGAGAGTTTATTACAGAGAAATGTCTCTTTCCAAAATAAAAGCTATACTATACGCTTCTTCTGGGATATATTCTCAGCAGCATATTAAACATATCAGGTCCCCATAAGGAGAATCATGTGCTAACGGCTGTCTAAATGACTCGGGTAAAGTTTGTAGCATGCGTGCTTGTTGTTTTTGTCTGCTTCCACTTGTCTTTGCACGAGGATGATGTTGGAGTAAATGTGCAGTCATAGTCATAGGGTTAGGGTTAGGCGCCAGAGGGATTGTTCGCATAGGGCGCCAAACAGGCTGGGACCGCCACTGACTGACCTGTACTGTTACTCTTTACCTTGTAGTCTTTTTGGGTCTCAGAGCAGCTCGACAAAAACTGCTTGCCACTTGAAAACTGTATTTGGTCTCCTTGTCCTCCCTTTAAAACTACAGAAATAATGCCAACAGTAGCTCACACAACTACTATGTACTGTTTTATGTGCCTCTATATCATTTAGAGAAGGTGATATTTTAATCAGTGGTGAATATTTATTTATCTCAGCGCAGGACGGACTCAAACACTTGTCCTCTCTTAAATACAGTCTGTGCAAGTCATCCTGGGAACCGGTTCCATCAAGCACATTTTTTATTTATAGACCTTTGATTCCAAAATTAGATCCTGACTGAAATTAGGAGCAAAAACAAAGCAAAGAACAAAGCAAAAGGACTATCCATCACCAAGACATTTCTGTTTCTGAGCATGGGTCAGCTGTAGGTTTTTAGTCCGAAATAAAAATCTCTTCATCATTCCAGCATTTCTGCAGTGCTTGTTGTTTTTGCCACTGAACTGTCTCTCGCTCTCTTTTTTTTCTCTGTTTCCTTCACTGCTGTGTCACCATCTGTGCCCCAAAATGACTCCTCTGTCCAAAACAGCACCCATCGGTTCCTCCTCCACCCTGCCAATGGCCCAGAACGGCACGGCACTGGGACCAAACGCGTCACCAGCAGTAGGCGTGTCACAGCGCTGAGAACATAAAGTGATGATGGCTGGATTTACGTCATTGCTGTGAAATGACAGATACTGCTGAGTAACACTCATCAGATTTGATTCTCTGTGAGAGAGGGGCTGGTAAGGTTTGCTTCTTTGTAACAAAATTTAAATGCACATAATTTGACCTGATGTTAAGGAGAAATGAATGCCAGAAAACATCAAATCATGTGCGTCACAGGATGTCTAACAACTATCAATGTATAAAAATCTCTCTATTATATCCTCCTGTTATAGAAGACTGAACGTGCCCAAATGCAACTATTAATCTTATTTTAAATTGATTAAAGTTAACTGATAATTTGAAAATAAGCAAATACCTAATCAGCCAATCTTATGGCGGCAACTCAGTACATTTAGGCATGTAGGCATGGTCATGGACAACCTGCTAAAATCTAACCTCAAAATGGGGAAGAAATGTAATCCTAGTGATTCGATCCCAACTGATATGCTGGGATTTTTCCACACAACCAACCATCAAAAGAGAAAATATCCAGTGGGTGGCAGTTTACTGCGTGAAAATGCATTGTTGGTACCAAGAGGTAACGGTAACTCAAATAACCACTTGTTACAAACAAGGTATGCAGAAGATCATCTCTGAGTCTGTAGCAGAAAAAGACCACACCGACCACACAACTCAAGAGTCTCGATTTCTGCTGTGACATTCAGATGGCAGGCTCCATCCTGTCTCATACGAACAGTGATGTAATGCTGATGTTTTCTTAGCACGTTTTGCAGTGAGTGTTTTCACATGTGGCTGAGGGAAAAAAACAAAGGTGGGCTACAAATGATGATCCATTAGTGTGTCTACGTTAACCACAAGGGACACAAAAAAACAGGTCTGTGACTAATGCATAAAACCTAAAACAAAAGTACAGCATACACAGTTTTGTTCACCATTTATTAGCTATAGTTACATGCATACTTGCTTACAGTTGATTTTAGTGTGCAGTACACAGTTTCATTTAGTTTCATTGTCTAGGTTATATTACCCCAATTTTACTTTACAGGCTGCCTTACCAAAAGAAGTCTTTACAACATAGTTCGTTTTTCACATTTTCAACACATAACAAAGTTTTCTTAGAAGCCAGTAGCCATAGATACACAAGGTACGCTTGATATGCGAGGTCTCTGCTTTTGTTGCCAGGACCGGAAAAGCTGTCAGCACATCAAACAATACGGGAAGTAGCAAAATCGTCAAAGTCACAGCTTTACATTCTTAGAAGCTGCAGGGTCACCAGCTACTCCGGGCGAATTTCATGACTGAGTATATCTATGGCTCCAGCACAACAACACGACCATAGAATAAACAATCAGAACAATCAGACCACTTTTCTCTAGGTTTTTGCATCCTCCGTTACGATACAACCTTCTTCCTTTTTTTTTTTTTTTAAATTCTCGGTAAATAATGGCCAGGTCTGTTGCAAATCCACTCTCTATCTCTTCATATGTGCTTTATTTTGCTTCAGTAATAATGTCTATAAACGCAGGCCTTGGCACAAATCCTTAAATCTTATCCTAAACATTCAGGGAGAAAACCAAGAACCTGTCCACTCATTGTCCGCCCTTTAGTCCAGTTGTGAATTTCCAGCAGAGTGCAGTTGTTGAGTTAATTGAGTTTATATACAAGAACAAAAAAATTAAAGCTACTTTTGAGCCCTGTCCCTTTTTCAGAATCATGTCGTTATTGGGAATAAACCTGCACAGGTAAAGGTGAAAGTACTGAGCAGTCTGAACAGTCTCAGATACAGACTGAGATTATTACAGCAGGAGATATGGAGGTCGAGATTAGGCCGAATGCTGCTGAACACTTTACATGTGCAAGAGTAATTAGACATTGAAGTTAGTGATTGTACAATTAAAGAAAACAGCTGTAATGTACAATTTAGACAAATGTGGAGTCCCACCAAGCACCACATGTCCACTGATGTCCCCCCCCCCCCTCTTTTTTCTGAGCTAAATATGGCCGGCTAGTCAAAACTGTCATATTTTCAGGCTACTACAATATTGTGCAAAAGTCCATCCCTCATCTTTTTGCATTTTGGAAGTAGGTGCAGAACCTTAGTTTCATGCAAACATACATGTAAATACAGCATATAAGGAAAAAACTGAGTTTGGATAATTCTAACAGACTTAAAAGTCAATATTTGGTGTGACAACCTTTATTCTTCAGCACAGCCTGAACTCTTAGACAATATTTCTTGTAATTTCTTTAAGTAGGAGTCGTTCTCCAGGCTTCTTTAGGGACATTCAAAGCTCTCTTTGGATGTTGGCTGTCTTTAGATGATCCCACACAAATTCAACAATATTGAGATCTGAGCTCTGAGAAGGCCAATTCATGACTGATAGCGTTTCATTGAGTGTGTTTTTCTATCCAGTTATGATTTTACTGCATTGGCAGTGTGTTTGGGGTCATTGTCATGTTAAAAATTAAGTTGCTGCCAATTGAATGATTTACCAATGGTACTTTTCTGTGTTCACAATTCACATTAATTTTGACACGATCTCCAAAACCACTGGCTGAGATGCAGCTCCAAACCGTAACACAGCCTCCACCGTGTTTTACAGATGTCTGCAGACTCTGACCTTATTACATCACTCCATCAGACCTGTTGCCACTGATTTTCAGTCCAGTTCTTGTGTAATCTGACATACCTCAGCCTTCCTGACAGCCACCCTTCCACTTCCACTGATTTCTAATGAGGCTTCAGTGAACAGTAGACGGATCATCTGAAGGTTCAGATGCATCTCTCAGGTCTGTTTCAGGTCTTTGTTGGATTTTTTCCTATTTCTGACTTTTAGACAAAAATACTATTTATCTGTCAATTTTTCTTAGATTCAGCAAGAAAAATTAAAACCATTAAAACTTTGCAACAGGTTGCTAGTTACAAAGTACCTAAAGATACAATTTAAAATTATCTGTAAAGTTATCCTTGAATGAGTCATAGGTCAATGTTAAGTCTCTGCTCAGGTACAAGGACTGAACTGAAAATGAGTGAAAAAGCAGCCAATGTCAAAGAAAATTCTGAAAGACCTTCACAAAGTCTGGAGAACGGTTACTCAAAATTTACAAGAAAGCCACGCTGCCTGGAAGCAAATATTTAAAAAAAATGAGGTGACTCAAGACTTTTGCACCATACAGCCTAATTCTAACCATGAATCCACGATTATGCACCTTGATTCATGGATCACTTTCCTTCTTAACAGCCTGAAAAAACTATTTTCACCTTTAACTTTTCAAATCTAAAAGTTGTAGAGCAAACCTTTTAATGTAATCTTCCACATGTACACTTGTACTTTTTTTGGTTAGGTGGGACCGTTGAATATCAGAAACTGTTCAGAGCGCACGTTTTCCTCACAAATTAAAAACCGACTGAAACGCTGTTGGGTTAATATCTCTGCCGCAGTGCTAGCACACGGAGGAGTAGAACTCCACTTCCCACAATGCTTTGCAATTAAAGGTTGCAGCATTAACAACAACAAAGAAATCAATCAACTGAAAAGAAAACTAAAACCAATATTAGAATTTGTCTTTGCAGGATAATGTTTAAAGGTCAATCTGGTAACAATAATAACAAAAGATCACCCTTTACGTGGCTTCTGTGATATACCTGTTTTATCTGGTACCTTCATCCTGGCCTGGACAGTTAGAAAAGCCTAAAATAAATCAAAGTGAACAACTCACTGCAGCACGTTTGAAAAAAGAAAAAGCACATTATAAAAACACTACAGTCCAACCAGCTCATACCGAGGATTAGCCAAACCTATACCGAAAACAGAGAAGAGAGAATATACTGTAGATTACTGCCGCGAGCCTCTTACATTTATGTATTTATAGTCCAGGGGCTGCGTTCACAAAGCCTCCACAGACAGCAGTGCTGACCCAGGGTCGAGTGAAGGAGTGGACGTGACCTTTGACCCTTGGGCTTTGTGAGAGCTGCTCCAGCTGTGGTTTAAGTGTGGAAGCGTTTATAATAAGACCAAGAGCACAGCACACAGTCACTGGCTGAAATGTCAGGCTTCACTTTATGAACGAATACAAAAAATACCAAAAACGAATTTCATGATAGTCACTGTTCAGACTGGGCAGATGGGGCTCAATTATTCAATGAGAGGGAAACTCGAACGAGGCTGCTGGCGCTTGTTTTCCCACACCAGCTTCATCCTGGGTGGGTGGAGTCTTTTATCACAGTTTCATCACACTATTCTAACGTTAGAAGGTATGTTTTTAGGAAATGCACTGACCCAACCCCTTTTTTTGTTTTTGAGAGTTTGGCTGTCCAATCACTTTTGTACCCAAAACGTACCTGGAGAGCCAGCTTCCACATTTCTCTGTGTAGTTTCTGCCTGTAAGCTAACGCCAGCGTACTGCGAGCTCATAAACACACCTGTGACATAAAATATTACTCTGAGCATTTCGAATGCTGCTGATCGTGTGTTTGTTTGATATTATGAATAGGACCTCTTTAAAAGAGCTGTATAATCATGTCGAGGAACATTTTCCAGAGGGCTCAAATATATTAATGCATATCATCTGGCTTTGAGAATAAGATTATCTGCTCATCGGTGGCCCAACAACACTGGAACTGGTTTGTTTACATGTCCCAACTGTAGAAATATCCCACCAGCATAATCTGTATATAAAAGATGGCCCCAGCTAATGGTCTGAAAAGTGAAGCCAACATGAAAGCTGGAGTCTTTCTTCAACCAGCAGGGGGAGACCTCGTGTTGTACATTAATCGATGGGAAACCCCCTAATCTTTCTTCTTCTGTGACTTTACGTGTCGATGTTGCACGTTCTCCCTGTATCATTGTAACAGTCAGGAAGGCCTCACTAACTAACGGTAGGCCCAAAACTCATAGAGTGTACAGCATGTACGCCCAACAGCTAACTAGCACTTGTTTATGGCTGTGTAGCTTTGAAATGCTTTCTTAAAAATGTAATTTCATACGTCCTTTGTAACTTAATCCAACCCCATTAGTTTTTCCTTAGTACGCTAGTGGCTCAGTCACACTGGAGTAAAAACCTCAGAAGAAAAAAAAGGTGGTTACCTGGTAATTGCATTGGATTTTTTTTGCAATCACCAATAGACTTCAAGTAGATACAGCAACTAACTGGTCATCCAGAGCTTCAAAATGCTGCACCGCCAACCTTCTGGGCTTTCACCTCGACTGCACAGGTTGGCTGGTGGGAGGCAATCGGTCTCCAAACAAACGCAGACTGACTCGAACACTTGACTCTCAGACTGACTGGCAAAGGTTTGCAAATCACTGTCCTCTAATTTCTAAACACCAGAGAGCACAACTCGTCTATAATGCGTCTCTTTGCAATAGGAGACTCAGCTCAGCTGGTTGCATACTAGTTATATTCCAATATAAAAGCAGGGTTGTTGAGTGCATGTGTCAATGTGACTGAATCATAAACTAACGGTGCTCTCCAGACAAGCGTCTCCAGCTGTACGTCCCTCCGCAGAGCACTTTTATCTCCCGTTAGCTACAGCTACATTAGCCACATCCTGTTAGCATGCATGACAGCTCACTACACAGAGATAATGCTGCTCCTGCTGTCTCACGCTGGTTCAGATGAGCCAAACTCTCAAAAGGTCAGTGTCTCCAAAGGAAGGTGTGCGTGTTTCATAAACAGGCATGACCCAGAAAGCTAGCGAGTTATCTGCTAATAAGCTATTTTTCTTTATTTTCCCTGATTATCCTTACTCGTTTCCATAAATCCTTTCTCAACATTTGGTAGAGGAGTTAAGATTGCACTATAATTAGTTTGTCTTGTGCTATATACCTTGTGTTTTGTAAACACGTCGCCCCCATACTCACCAGGGGCCCACCTGCACACAGAGCCTGTAATATTGCTAATAGAGCGTGTAGGGGAGGGGGAGCTGCTGAGTACTGAGTGTTGTTAAAGGTTAAAAAGAAGCAGATGTGGGGCTGAAACAGTGTGTGTGGTTACTGTGCCATACGCCCTGGGTGGCTGGACACAAAAACCTCTCTGGTTTAAGTTCACAAACAGGTGTGTGATAAATGTATGACTGATATTCTTTTTTAATCAGACTTTTTTAGTTGATGATGAACATTAAAACTAACCAAACCCCTTAAGTTTCAACTTAGCGTCACATTTCTCCCCCTTTAACTCTCCCCGCTTCATCTCTCTATTGTTTTTTCTTCTTTTAGTCGGACCATTCGTTCTCGTCGAGCTCGGAGTCGTCGTCGGACTCGCTGTACTCCACTGCGATACGACGCGACAGGATCGTGGCCACGTCGTTACCAACGGGCTCCCTCTTTGCCTCCTGCTCCCTCTGCTCCTGCACCTTCCTCAGCTGGATACCTGGAGGGGGCAGAGGAAGGGCGGAGTTAACAAAAAAAAGATAATTTCTATTAAGAAATTTAAGTAAATTCTTGGGGTTTTTTTATAGTGTAAAATCTTTAAAACATTTAAAATTTCTTCATGTGTTTGTTCCACCAAAATCAAACTATTTTGGATGCAAAGGCATTTTTCAGTTATTCAAACTCATCCATCCTGGTAGTTTTTATGAAATAAATTTGTTTGTAAGCATCCAAAATGAAACGTAGCTGTGTTAACTTCCCTGCTCTATGTGGGTGCTAACAATAAAGACCCTGTGCGTCCCTTCCTCATACAGACGCACTCACCTCTACGTATGGCCGCCAACAGGTCGGAGCGGGCGTCGCTCATGGGGATCATCCCCAGCATGGTGGACTTCCTCGTCGAGGGTGCCGCGTCCACAGCTGACTGACCGATAGCGGCGTGCGGGGGTGACGGGTGGGCCTGGTGGCCCAAGGGGGCTCCCGGAGGAGGAGGAGGAGGGGCGGCCGGAGGTGCGCCTGAAGGCGGGTGGGAGGGGGAGGGCACGTAGTTGGCTGGGGGAGGAGGAGGAGAGGGTGAGTAGGGACGGGAGAGGGTGGAAGAGGTTGGGGGGACAGCGGAGGTGGCGGAGGGCGGGGCGTTGGTGGAGTCGAAGGCGGTCTGGGCAGAAGGGATGGTTAGTGGGGGTGGGGGAGGGGCCGGCGGGATGTAGTACTCGGGGATGGTGGAGGGCTGCCCTCTGGTGATGGAAAGAAGTAAATTAAAGATTTTTAACGAGTAGAAACAAACTAAACGCGAACAAAGCCATAAAACAGATCAAGCAATAACACGCAGAAAACAAACCCGTGTGCGGCGCGGTAGTCCTTAACCGACTGCTGCCTCGGACCGTTGACTGTCGGATCTCCTCCGGCCTGGACGCCGTGTCCCGAGGGGGTTCGGCCCAGGGAGGCCACGTGCCGACCTGTTGCCGCAGCACCGCCCGCTCCCGGGGGCTGGTTGGCCGGCCTCAGGCCCCGATCCAGTGACTGCGTCTGGGCCGCGGCACTGAGGTGATCCCTGGTGTGGTGGTCGGCGGGGTGGGCAGTGCTGGAGGCCTGGGTGGAGGGGTGGTTGGGGCTGGCTGGGTAGGAGTCGGACGCCATTGATCTGTTGGAGAGTTGTAATTGAAAATTAGAGGGCAGGTAGGAAGGAGCAGTGAATCATGATAATAACAGAAATGTTAGATTTTCTATTCCTTGTATTATTTCCTGCTCTGCCACAGCAGTGACTTCAGTCCCTAATGAAAGTCAACCTCATCGTTTCCTCCAACCTGCTGTGACGCAATCCAGGTGCTCTGCACTACATTTGCCAGAAGAGGGCAGCACAGAGCTGTAAACGACACAGTAAGCTGGCACTTCTTAAATCTCTGTATTAAATTATGTGACACTTATAGTGGCTGTGTAACAACGCCAGCTTACTGTCTACTATTTATAGTATATGAATAGTATTTATAGGCTTTAAAGGATGAGAGAAACACTCATCCAATGCCCATCCTCAAACACTGACTGTACACATAAACTAGGAAAGCAAACAGGACCTCAGAGACAAACCTCACTTGTAGCTAATGTACACGTGTGTTTACCTGCTATCTGGGGACAGTGAGCCTTCAGAGGACATGCCGTGGTAAGGGGAGGGGGCGAGCCTGGCGTCTGGTCTGAACTCTTTGTCGTAGGCCAGGACGTTCCACTCCTGGCGTCGGTTACGAGCTTTACGCACCTTCAAGGTTAAACCGGGAGAAACGGACACGTTACACTGCAGTTACAGGTAAAATTATATATGTATATAATTATAGTAATGGAGTTTAGAAAGATTAAGCTGCTGTATTACATCTTTCTCCTACAATCCTTTCACAGTCACTACCTTTAGAGCGGAGCATTAGAACAGCTGTACCTGTATTGCACCCTACTAATAGAAAATAGATTTTTACTGCCTCTACTCGAGTAGCAGCATTTACTAGAGATGCCTTTAAAAATGATTAAGAGCTCTCCACACTAACAATGTGGTCTCTGCTCTTTTTATTCCACTTTTATTAAGTATTTTACCAGCAAATTCACTTTTCTTTGGCTCTAAGCAGCTTTGTGATTTATTTTCTTCTTCATCAGTTCTTGATGTTACTGATGCAGTTAGGATGACTGTATAAGACCAGCTCAGATAATACATCTGCTAAAGTGCAGAATCAGTGTAAATGAAGGAGGAAGGTCAGATTACTCTTAGTAAGCCAGTAAATTTGAATTAAAGCGATTTTTCATGGGTGTCAACGATGGAAATCAAAGCTAAACTGAAAGAAACACAATATTCCCACAAACGTCGGGGAGCCCGGAGTCATTTGGGGTCTAAGGAGGAGGAGATATGTAAGAAAAGACTGATGTTTAAGGACAGTAACGTGCTTTGAAATGTGCAAGTGTTTACTCAGTTCCAAAAAAAAGCACATAGAAAACCTGTCTCCAAACCAGCTGCTTATTACAAACAGATTAAGCGTGACTGCTAACTTGACCCCTTTGATCTACTGATAACACCGTGTATTCTGACAGCTTCCTATCAGAAGCAGCATTAACGTTTTTCAGCAGTTTGAGCTACAGTAACTCGTCTGTTGGATCGGACCACACGGGCCAGCCTTAGCTCCCCAATCATCAGTGAGCCTTGGACGTTCATGACCCTGTCACTGACCACTGCAGGCCAGGAACAACCCACAGCATCTGCGGTTTGGAGATGCTCTGATCCGGTTGTCTCGCCGTCACAACTTGGCCTTTGGTAAACTCACTCTAGTCCTTATGCTTGCCCATTTTTCCTGCTTCTTACTCATCAACTTTGAGGATAAACTGTTCATCTTCTCTCTAATATATCCCGCCCACTAAGAGCTGCAACGATGGAGAGATAATCAGTGTTGTTCACTTCACCTGTCAAAACTATGATCTGCTTTATACTCTGTTAAAAACTGTTCATTAAATGATTGTATAGAGGATTTAACCGCTTGCTTTACTCTTGTTTCAGAGGAACGTTGATAACTCTAATTAAATGACCATTAATAATAAACTTAGTAAGTGATTACTGACCTTCTTCACTTCTCTGCTCGGGTCTTCAACCTGCCTCTGCTGCTCCTACGAGTGACACACAGAGACACAGAGGAGCAGAGGGAAACTCAGCTGTTGGCTATTTATTTATTTACTGTGTAAAGGGAAATATAAAAAAGCTCAACCCCATCACCAGCTCCTTCACCACGGGGTAAATTCACACTGACCCAGCCCCCAACACACACACACACACACACAGTGTAAGCACCACCCAGTCACTATTCGACAACACCAAAAACACCGGTACAGATGACAGAGCCAAAACTTGTGGGAGCACAGGACAGCAACCAAACCAAACACGGAGGGTTAGCAAGACGGTGAGGTGTTAAGCTGAGGTGACATTAAACACACACACACAGACAAACAGGAGGGAGTGTGTGTGTGTGTGTGTGTGTGCTGGCATTTACTTAGTACTTTCATGTGTATCAGCGTGTCTCAATGGTGTTAGGACATGTCTGCTTTGATAGGTGAGTCTGTAATGTGTGCTAGTGGGATGTGTGGGGAGGAAGTGGAGGGAGGGGAAGTGGGGGGGGCAGAACGGGGGCAGGTTAGGTTAGGGGTCGGGGTTGTCTTACAGAGATGGACAGGGGGCTCCTGGGTTGGGCCTGTCTGGAGTGGGGCCTGTCAGGGTGGGCCGGACAGCCCTATGGAAACATGGGAGAAAGACAAGCTGGTGCGTTAGACTGAGCAGAGGAGGCGGAGGAGGAGGGGGTGGGGGGTGTCTTCAAAGGCCAGGAAACTAAAGATAGAGAGAAACGAAGGAGGAGGAGCTGTGGGAGGAAAGGATAGAGGTGGAGGAGCCATCCTCCTGCAGCTCGCTCGGGCTCTCAGACCTGTTGAGTAACAGCTGAAGCTGCGTTGTTTCGGAGGTGGGAGGGGGGGGGGAAGGTTCTGCATGGTTTCCAGGTCGAAGGGAGGGAACAGAAAAATGTGAGCAGCATTAAATTCAACAGAAATATTGACCGAACTGCAGCAAACACATGCAGCAGCAGCTGTTGAGCGGTTACAATCACCAACAAAGGAAGAGAGCGCCAAAGGAAGTGTGAAGGGGAACACCTCCGGAGCTCAGCTCTGAAATACTCGTAGCTCAGTTCCTATTAGTTTGAATGGATTAATAAACGAGAGCAATGGTGGTGTGCTGGAGCTCCTTTCAGTGCTCCAGGTTATTGGTGTTCACGTAGACCAGCGCACAGACCTGCAAACTGAATGCACTACTTTAAAACAGCAGGACACAGTTCAGTTAAATCCAGCAGGAAGTGAGCGTACAGTAGTGTGCTAAAGACTTGAGTCACCTCTGGTTTCTTTACATTTTTGTAGGAAAATGGGAAATATTCTTATTCTTCAGCACAGTCAGAACTCTCTTATGGAAGCGTTCTTGCAATTTCTTTAAGCAGTCTTCGGGAATAGTTCTGCGGGCTTCTTCAAGGACATTTAAAGCTCGTCTTTGGATGTTTCTGAATTTAGATGATCCCAAACTGCTTTAATAAAATTGATGTCCGGGCCCTGGGGAAGCCAATCCATGACTGATATTGTTCCACTGTGTGTTTTTCTATCCAATCAGATGTTTGCTGGATGGTATTGAACCTTATGGTACTTTTTTGCATTCATAATTCCATCGATTTTGACAAGATCTCCAAAAACACTGCAGCTCTAAACCACGACAGAGCCTCCAGGATTTGAATCAAAACTTTCAAATTCAGATTCATCACTCCATCAGATCTGTTGTCACTGATTTTGGGTCCAGTTCTTGTGTAATCTGGCATACCTCAGCCCACACACAGCCACCCTTCCACTGAGACCATTTCTGATGAGGCTTCAGTGAACAGTATATGAGTTGAAGGCCCAGATGTATCTCTCAGGGCCGTGTCAGGTCTTCGCTGGATTTTTTCCCTGTTTCTAAAAGACATGACTTTCAAGCAGAAACGCCTACGGAGGAGGCTACAAATGTGGCCTCTTCCTGAGGCCACATTTGTAGACCGGTTACGTCACAGCGACACGATGAAGACTGTCCAAATTCGTAGACTCCTCCGAATCCGGCCGACAAATACGTCCTCCTTTTCCCCAGATTTGAAGAATGGGCCGGGTGTGTCCTTCGTGGCCCACCATATCCCAGAATTCATAGCACGGCCCAGCCAATTCCAGTTTCCAAACAATGGCGGCCGCTACTAAGTTTTTAATATTACTCTTATTAATCCTTCTGGGTCACAAAATAAACTTTTAACATATTTTAGGCAAGAAAGTAGCTGTGTAAACTTCAAATATCTGCTCGGTTTATCAAGACATCGCATATTTGCAAAAGCGCTCCGATGTTTTCGGAGACGTCTGTTACCCACCAGCTCGACAGCTAGCTGGGGGTTCAATGTCACTCGAGCCGGCGAGAACAGCGGACTCCCGGCTTCATCGCTTTCAGACCCCCGCCGTCTTTCACTGCTCAGGTTAAACATGATATATAAGTCACTCAGATAACTTAAAAACGTTATTGTTTAGCTTTTTCAGTGTTTTACTTGTTGGGGAGTAAATCGTTTTGGTTGAGATTAAAGTTATTAGATTAAATAAAATAAAAGTTGATTAATCCCTCGGGTGGTTTTCACACAGCTGAATAAACGTCAAACAGAAAACTGATTAAACAGAAGTGTGAGACGGTCGTGTCCTGTTATATTTTAGATAGCAAGGAGCAGAGAGCTGAGTTTACTGGACTCCACCGAGACAGCGGTGACGCAGATTTGAAGGCTTGACCGTCCCATTTCACAGCCTCGCGCTTCCAGCCTTCTCGGTCTTCAAAGGACCCGGCCCACGTAGACCGCGAAGGCCGGGTCCTCCGAAGGATGCGGCCTAGGTTTTGGGACACAGCTTCAGACGCTGTTCATCTGCTATAGATATATATTTTTGGACTCGCCACTTCTTCTTCTTCTTTCCACTTGTCAAGTTTCCTCAAACTTTTTAAGGGACACACTGCACACCATGTTGAAATATGGGAGGACGAGGTGAAACAGCTATTAGCCACGGTCTTGCTGATTAATGCTAAAACACTTTTTGAGTTAGGTGCCTTTTCTGTTCTTGAATGATTCATAGGTCAGGGTTCAGTGGTCTAACAAACAAAACAAAATCCTCTAAAAATGGTCAGGTTCCACGACTGGACTGAAAATGAGTGAAAAAGCAGACAATGTCCAAAGAAGAACTCTGAAAGACCTTCAGAAAGCCTGGAGAACTATTACTCAAGAGCACTTAAAGGTCTGGCTGCTTGGAAGAAAAATATAAAGCAATGAGTGGTGTGTCAAGAGTTTTACACTGTATGTAACTACAGCCAAATACGACGTTCGTATAAGTTCTCCCTCGATCACGTTGTTGTCTCTGGATAACCGGCCTGCTCAGCTGCTGCTGCATCGATAGCCGATTAAACAACCAAGCAAAGCTAAATGGAGAGTACAGTCAGAGAGAAATGAAACTGAAATAACAGCATAGATGGCACCACCGGGCAGGAAAATAAAAATTCGCAAAATAAAGCAGAAGATGAATTTCTTTAACCGTTTCCAGACCCACGGTGACGCACACCCAAACATACAGCGCACGCTCACAAACACTCGTTCAGCGCACACATCGTACCTTCTGCCGTCTCTTCTCTTTGCGCTTGTCCTCAGTGGCCTGCAGCATCTTTTCCTTCCACAGGTTGAAGAAGTAGGAGGGGTCGGTGTAAAACTTCAGGGCGTCCTTCTTGTCATCCCTGCGAGGAGGAGGAAGTGAAACTAAGAAAAAAAAAAAACAGCGGAGCTTGGTAAATTATCAATACTGGCAGAGAGGCTAAAAGACTGACCTATAGGGGGTGAGAATATTAAGTGGTGGAGGTTTGTCGCAGCGGTGGTACATCTCCACCACAGGGTTGGGCACAGAGGTCCTCGACACCACCTGCTGGTCCTGAATGGTACTGCTCTTAAAGGCCTTTCTCATGTTGATGTCCTGCAGAGAAACTGGAAACAGAGAAGGAGGACAGCATTAAATTATGATAAGCAAACAGAATGAAAAACAACAACACGGCGATTAAGCCGGCAGAGTCACAAACACTGGTGTTTGACATCATAATCCCCCAAAACAGCCGGTTTCAGCCACTAATTCCTTCATATGCATCACTCTCCTCTACCCTCGATTTTTTTTTTAAACGCATGAATCAAAGCCAGGATTTGTGGCATTAAGAGAAAAAGAGCCTAATCTCTTGTTAGGGCTCTTAGAAAAAATTAGCATAAGTTTAGCAGATTTTTAATGCCAATTAATTCAAGCTTCAGTCTGATGGAGTGACCAAAGAAAACATCAACCTGGAAAATAAACTTTTTAAAATCTAGTTTAAGGACAATTACGGAAAATCCGAGTGAAAAATAAAAACAGATAATCATCAGAAAATAATAATTTTCCTCTTTTTTTTTTAGCTTCCTACAGTGGAGTTAATCAATCTTGTGTCACTGCTCACAGATAAAATGCATCTAATCACTTCCCATTTATCATACCCACTACACCATTACATCACACGTCACATGCTCTGGGCTGAATGACAGCGTGCGTCTGCTGGAGTTCTTCATTAAATAAAGATGATCTGCTTTTTATGAAGTCTAGACTCTATAAATATGCAAACATCTGCCGTTCTCAGTGCGTGTGCAGCTTCTGATTGGCCAATATGTTTTTCTACAAGCCACCAGGGGGCTCTGCTTATTCCAGGAGTCCTTTAAACACCGGACACGTGAGATTTGTGCGAATGTTTCATATTTTAAACCTTTAAAACCTGAATCATGGAACAACTGCTAGAAAATGATTTTTTAAAAATTACAATAGAATTAAAAACATTTAAAAATTAATTAAATATTAATTTGCATACACAAGTTTTAGTTTGTATCATATTTGCTACATCCAGGATTTTCTTTTTCAATTTATTGCTTAAAAATGTTTTGTGCAATTTATTTATGTAAATTTCTATTTATGATTTATGATATGATAGCGAAATCCCCCTTTTTGTCAGTGTAAAGAAGTTTAACAACACATTTAAACCCTGAGATGTTTTAATAGAAGATAAGACAAATTTCAACAAGTCTCAGTTTTTCTACATGACAAATGTGTAAAATTACAGAAAGAGTTTCTTTAATAGTGAAAAACAGGAACTTTGCCCATGTCCTCATTTTAGGTTTGGCAGCGTTTTTAGCAGGTAAAGGTGGCTTAATCAAGAATTGAGCTGTGGTTTGGGGAAGGCCTCGATGGGGACTGGTGTCGGCTCCTGGGCTCATGTACTAATGAGAAGTGAAGAAGTGAAAGAACTGAAAAAAGGGGGAACTAGAGTGGGGCACGAAAATGAGAACAAACAGCTTGTAGAACTGGGGGTGTCATATATGGACAAGACCCGGAAGAGGCGTGTTTGGAGGCGTGGTCCCGCTCCTGAAATTCACATAATTTATCTCCAATTACTTAACTAAATGGCTGTGGGGGAGGTCTTTCTCAGCAGGAAAAGCCGTAGAATTTATAAAAAGAACATTTCAAAGTCCACAAATTTTTTCCAGAACACATCAGCAGGCTGCTGGGACAACTCTGGCCATTCACACCGAATTTGGACGAATTTCCTGTATTTGTTTGACTAATTTATAACTCTGATAAGTGGAAGAGAATGGATGGATGAAGAATCTGTATTTTGTTTCTCTTGCCTTAAAACATACGCAGGAAATAAGGGGTTAGCAACTAATCAAAGAAAATAATAATACTAATATTAATAATAATACTAGCCATCAGCCTCTT